TTTTAAAAAAGGCCTTCTGTGCCAAGCCGAAAAGTTGAAATTTCACACTGGAGGCTACAGGGAACCGTGACAGGGGAGCATTTGCTAAATAAGAATGTGATTTTGAGAATCACAGTACCTCAGTGCTTTGGCAGTTTCCAATAAGTGTGTTGAAATCTTTTAAGGTAGAAGCTGAAGATAATGCACTCCATTTTCTTTCTGATGATTTGTATTTGTCATGATGAGGGAGTATATGTTTTTAGCATGTTTCAGGTACAAGGGTAGGCACTGTTTGATTGGACCATTTCAAAAACAAAAGAATCTTAGCTGACAAGATGGTATTTAGTGTCATTTTGAATTAACAGAATCCCTGCTGATATTAAAGTAAAAAAGTAAACAGAAATGTAAATATTTTGGACTTTGTAACTGAAAACATCTAAGAGTGGCTGTTTCTGGTTTCAGGCATGATGGGATCCAGGTGCTCAGACACATCTTGCTCATTCCCTCCCTTCTTCCCCCACCCCTTTGTTTTCCTCGTCATCTTTTATTCTGTATGTCCCTGTATTCTACAGCAGAGAGACTTTTCCATGTTGTCAGAGTGACTGCAAGAAGCCCCCACTTAAGTTATCTCTTGACATCATGAATGCAAAAGAAAACTGAATCACATAGCAAATGTAATGGGATGTTCTGAATGACTATATTGGATTGGGTGGTGAAATACTTTCATTGGTCTAGGCTGAGTGAATGCTCCCAAACCATGTGAAAGGTGGTACCCAAGAATAATGGGATTCTGTTCCTTGAAGGAGGAGGACTGACTATACTTTAAAACAAACAAAAAACATAGGATATTCACTGCTATTCTGAAGAAGGGGAGATTTTCAGAAATAGCTGCCTTCATGCATGAGTTTGGTCTAGCACATTGTTATACTGTAATCTACTTTGAATCGAGGTCACAAAGAACAGATACCTCAGCTCGTGTGCAAAAATGACCCTTGCCCAATTTTCCTTAGCACATAGGCACAAGACATTGCCTGGCTTTCCAAATGCCTTGCAACAGTATCCACTTTTTCTTGTAAATATATGACGTATCTTCTACCAACTGCAGGAAGCTGGTCAAGTGACCCACCCAGTCTTGCTGCTACCTCCATGACAGTTTGTTTTTCTCGTTGTATAGCGTTCCATTAGCTTCCGCAGTGAGAGCCGTCCGGACATCCTTGCCCCCCGACCCTGGTCCAGGAATGCCGCCTCCTCAAGTACCAAGCGAAGAGACAGTAAGCTGTGGAGCGAGACCTTCGACGTGTGTGTCAATCAGATGCTCACGTCCAAGGAAATCAAACGTCAGGAGGTAAGCTTTGGACCCATGAAAATGGCAGTATGTTTTGAACAAAGATGGGCAAAGAAAGCCTGCTCTGGTCCCCAAATAAATTCTTTATTGCATTTATAAAAGGAGGACAAACGTGGGTGTCCAAGCTTGCGAAAGGAACTGAGAAACCAGCAACCAGCAGTGTGGGTGTGTTCTCCACTTTAAAAAGACATTGATGTGAAAATCTGAAATTACTAAGAAGGTGAATTTAGGTAGTGATTATTTAGGATCCTGGAGTTCACAACAATAATCGCTTTAGTTACATTTTGGTAGCAACTTATGACAAGTTGACCACTTGCCATAAAGTCATTTCAAACACATCGGGACTCTATGTGTGTATCAGAGCAGAATGGTGCTCCTTAGAGTTGTCAATAGCTGATTGTTCCTTTCTTCCAACGTGTCTCTGGATGGACTGAAACCTCCAACCTTTTGGTTACCAGTTAAGCACGTTAGCTGTTTCCACTACCTAGGGATACCAGCAACTTTTAGAATATCTTTATATATTCAGTTTATGAAATTGATTGATTTACCTTTGTGAGAGACTTACTTTCTATGGAGCTGAGGTTATCTTCAATCCCTGTAAGGTTTTTGTGTCAATAAAAACATTAGCACCTTAATGGTTATTGTAATATTATTAATATTATCTGTTGGAAGTTTCTTGCTATGTGCCAGGTTCTGCTCTGCTCTTCTTGTGTCCATCATCAAGGAAAATCCATGGAATGTTTTTTGTTTTTGTTTTTGTGGAGAACTTCACATGGGTGAAAGGAAGCACTTGAAAGTTTTCTAGATTTTTTTTGATTCAGCAGTTTTTTTCCTAGGAATTTATCTGCCAAGACCACATGTACACAAGTGAAAAAGCTGTATGTGCAAAGTTACTTATTATAGTAATATTCATAATAGTATTTGTGTGCAAAAAGCCTGGTATCTCTTAAGTAACTGCTTGAAGAATGAGTGTTCATACACAGAGTACTATACAGCTGTAGAAATACATGAAAAAATGCTAATATGAATCTATGGCTAGGTGGGCAAAGCAAGGCACAAAATAAGGTATATTGTATGTTGCCATTTTATTAAAAAGAAAAATAAATATATGGCTACGTATATAAATTGTTGTAATAAAAAACAAAAACAACCAAGTCCTATAGAATTAAAGACAGTTTAATGCGGCTAAAGAGTGTAATATGAGGGAAGAGAGTCACGATGTTCTTGACAAAGTGCTCCAAGGAGTTACAGAGCTACAGAGGTTGTTAAAGGCAAAACCACAACTAAGGTGGTACCGCTGGGTTGTTTTTTTTTTAATAGTTTACAGTGACAAAGTTGCAGGTGGCAGGATTTTGGTTCATCTTTGCAGAAAGGGAGCTTCAGATGACAGAACATGGCTGATCATAAATTTCCTAGAGCGTTTTTAAATTCAGTTATTCCTAAAAAGAAAGTATGTTTAAAAGGGTATCATGAAGACCTCTTTAGCTAAAGTGACATGTTATATCATGTCTAACACTTGTACATGCTGAATAATTCCTTTAACATCAGCCATTTCTAACCAAAAACTCATCTATTAAGTAGATTAGATTGGGCAAAACCTTATCTCAGTTTTTCTGCACAAACTGTTTGTATCTGGGTTAAACTTATAATGGGAGATTTTTACAGAAGTGATCATCTGTATTATAGAAAATTACAAAATGGAGCCACTTAGGACAAGGAGAGATTTGTCCTAGACTTTACCCAGCAACTGTAGTCTCATGAAGAATTTCAGTTTTGTAACGTTCTTTCTTACTCTCCCCCCTTTTGAGCAAGAATTTCTCTGGGAATTTGATCATCACAAATAGGAGTGCATTTTCTGCATGGATTTTGCTTGTTTAGAGCTGGGATGGCTACTTTGCTATTTTTAGGTCCTCATTTTCAGAATGAGCTAGTCTCCTGTTGCCCACAAAGAAATAACATGTCTCCTGCAACGATTTGCTGATGTAGGATTATAGATAGTAGTTTGTCATGTAAAAGCTTTTAAGACCTTAGACAAATGGTACCTTGGTACCATCTAATTATGGTTCTTCACCATTTCACTGTTTAAAGACCTTGTTTCAGTGACTTTGTCATTATGGGGACGTGACTAGGGCAAGGATGAATGGGAAGGTACAACTTTGATGGACTAGAGACCTCTAGTTTATCAATAAAAGCAGCTTTATTGATTTTTAGCTTGAGTTATGTAGAGCATAATGAAGAGTTAATGCATTCTGGAAATTATTTTAAATATTAGGAAAAGGTACCTTGTTCTGGGATGCAATAATATAAGTATTTGATTAGGCAAAAGAAAATGACAACAAAAAGGAATACAATTAATCTAGTTTTTACAAGAGAATTGACCTAAGATTTGATGCTGTTGGGTAACAAACTGAAAATATTAAACTAATTGTTAGTTATGCTAGCATTTTTTATATTGTTGTTGTTGTTAAGTGCTGTCGAGTCAGTTCCGACTCACAGCGACCTTATACAGGGTTTCCGAGGAGTAGCTGGTGAGTTTAAACTATCACCTTGTGATTCAAACCAACCTTAGGGTCTAGTCTTTATCTTACAGCGCTACACCAGGACTCCATTTCTGGTGAATTTTCTTTATACTCAGGATTTTTTTTTCTCAATGTGTGGTGTTAACTTGTGAAAAAGTTAGCAAGGAATTTTGTGTCTCAGCACGAGCCTTAGGTTTGGAATGCTCTTTTTCAATATTCATTAGCTTGTTGTTAAGTACCATGGAGTTTGTTCCAACTCACTGGGACCCAGTATAGGATTTCTGAGGAGCAGTTGGTGAGCTTGAACTGCTGATCTTGCTTATTAGTTTGTAAGACCATAAAATAGTTCTGGAAAGGTCCACAAGGAACTGGTTATGTTGTTCCCTTTGGGGAGGGGAGCTAGGTGGCTGGAAGGAGGTGAGAGGACAAGCTTTCAACATATGCCCATTGTAAATTTTGAACCATATAAATGTACTCTCTATTCAGAAATAAATAAAGCATTTAAATATAATGCATACCCTGGAAAATTTATGGGAAGAAAAATGGTAAACTCTTAGCAGTGGTTTATTTTTGTGTTTTCCTGTATTTTCCCGTGATAACATATATAATGTACATATATAACTTGTATAATCTGATTGTTGTTAAGTGGCATCGAGTCAATTCTGACTCATAGTGACCATGCATAACATTTTTGAGGATTGGATAGTAGGTTTGAACTGCCAACCTTGTGGTTAGCAGTTGTGTTAGCAGTCCATTGCATATCCTACAGCATCTCATCAGGATTCCTATGATCTGAGAGAGGAACGAAAAGAAAGAGAGGGGAGGGGAGGGAGAGAAAAATGAGAATGAGTCAATATGTAAATTAATGAGTCAATTAATTCTACAGATGAAGAAATTATTAAGGCACCATGAGTAAAAGCCCATCTGCTAGTAAATTCACTTATTCCAGATCCCATGGTCTTCATGGTGATACTGTGCAACCCCACCACAGATACCTGACTAGGGATTTCCCAGTGTTGAATTCTGTGAGTTTTCCCTCTTAGGACCACATCGAATGATTTGTAGTGCATAGATATGTATGAAGAAACTTGAGGAAGGTCCAGGTAAAGTCTAGTTTATTGTATTCTGCCAATCCATTCCCTGGTTTTCATAATGCACTTTATGTCGTTAGCCAAGATGCCACCAATGGGAGAAGCTGGGTGAGAGGTACACAGGATCTCTCTGAACTACTTTTCAATAACTTCTTAAAGATATATAGTTACTTCAAAATAGGAAGTGTTTTGTTGTTATTGTTGTTAATAGAGTACAGGAAGGTCCCTGGCACTCTCCTCCATCCCAGCCTTCCGCCTTACCTGCTTTGTCAGAGAGCATACTTATTGTCCTCCTTCTGCTGACCCCAGAGTAGCGGATGTACACAAAGCCTGCTGGCTTCTTCCTTCTATCCTGAAAGAAATACAGTGGTCCCTGAAGTGTCCTTACAAACTTGCAGTCCTTCAGTAATGCCACATCTGCCAACAATTTTGACTTGCAGTTGAGAATGAAAGAGCATTCTGTAAAATCATAGCTCTTGAAATTATGATGACTTAATAAAGATAAATTAGAAATGGCAATTAACACAAGAAAAGTCTTGCACACAGCAGCTCTTATAACTTTATTTGTTATGCATTGTGGGGTTGAGACGTAATTTTGAATGAATTAACTTTGCCACGCATTTAGGACAGTAAAATACTGAATTCCTTATACCCTCCCAGCATTAAGATGAATAGCTGATAGGAAAACATTTTGTGTTGACATTTACCTTCTAATAAAGACACAGAGACCAAAAAAACACACCCAAATCCATTGCTATCAAATTGATTTCAACTCATAGCAACTCAGTAGGACAGGGCAGAATGTTTCCATAAAGTTTGCAAGGGTGCAGATCTTTACAGATGCAGCCTGACTCATCTGTGTCCCAGGGAGCTGCTGGTGGATTACAAATGTGAGACTTCAGTTCACAACTGAGCATTTTAACCGCCGAACCACTAGGGCTTTTCTGAGAACAGACCCTGAATCATTTCTTGTGACTGCCACTCACAACAAAGATGCAGCATACATGACCTAAACTATAATTATTTTGCCTAAAATTATTCCGTGTTAGTTGGCTGCGTCAAAGTACTATAATATGAAAGATGACTCATTGGATTAGAAACATTATAGAACCTCTCACTCCCACAAAGAGAGACGCACGTAATTCAGAAGTTTTGCAAAATATTTTTCTTTACATGTTTTTAGCCACTAGATGCATTTGCTGCAGGGTAGTTTAACTTTTTGAGGAGTTCTAATGCTGCAAACAGTTAAGCACTGAGGTGTGAACTGAAAAGGATGGTTCAACCCACCCAGCAGTTCTGTAGAAGAAAAAGCTAGCCATCTGCTTCTATAAAGATTATACCAGGAAAACCCTGTGGGACAGTTCTACTGTCACTTTAGGTTGCTATGAGTTGGAATCAACTAGACTGTACCAAGCAACAGCAACTTACATTTTCAAAGACAGAAATGAGTAGATATGGGGCTTTGAGGCTTGGAAACATCACTGTTGGAAGCTGGTCTTCTAAACCAAAGGAAAGTTCGGTGAATGCATTTTATTTTTCCTTTCAGGCCATCTTTGAACTTTCCCAAGGAGAAGAAGACTTGATAGAGGACTTGAAATTAGCGAAAAAGGTAAACTCAAATCTGGTGGTCATCTGAGTCACTTCACTTTCTTTCCTCTGAGTAATTTCACAAAATTATGTTCTATAAGCATCCTCTTTGTGACTAAGAAGAATCATTAAGAATTAAGAATATCTGATAGCCCAAACTAAGCATGGGGGCAGAGGGAATGGCTCAAAACAAGAAGGTAATACCTCTCTGGGCCAACCATCCTTAAAAGTTCTTCTCTCCATGTCTCTAAGAATACTCCATTTGAAATCAGAAAAGTGTCCATGGAAGCCTGTCTACATAGTTCATTATCCTAGAATCCTTAGATGTAGGCCCTTTGGTGTCTCCACGTGGAACTGGTTCTTAGACATAAAGTCACTGAGTCTCAAAAGCGGATGGAGTAGTTAAATGAGGCAAGTGCATACTGCTGTGTAAATTGGGGTCTTTTATATGAGAATTTGATTTTTAATCACATGGATTGTAGGGGGGATCCATGCCGCTTGACAATAAACTTTCCTTAACAACCTTTCCATTCATGTGGTCTCTGTAGCCTGGAGATGACAATTCAGTCTTTTTCCTCTGATATTGATGGCCTCCTCAAAGAATCAAAGGGTTGGAAAGATGCCTCCTTTCCTTAAGGGTCTTAGTCCAACCATATGCTAATATAAAGTCTCATGTCCAGCATTCATGAAAAATGGCCATCCAGCTATGGTTGGATGCAACCAAGAAATGGGTTTTAGGCGGGACTGGAGGAGGAGGATGAAGGAGAGGACAAAAAAAGCATCTAACTGAGGACAACATCTGATTGGGCTTATGTCCTTTCAACCACCCACATCCTCCCAGCCTCCAGGAACCAGCTTCAGTCTCAATGCAGTCTTCAGCAATATGGATTGCTGCCTTCTCTGTACCAGGTAGCTCGTCCATAAAATTTTCCTGCACTACTTCAGCCTCAAACCATCACCGACCCTCTGGGGAATTCCAATTTGATAATTTTTGCTGTCATGTAACATCTCCCCTTTTTAAACCTTTTAAACATACTTAATTTTCCATTTGTTTTTCTTATCTTCCCAATCAGCTTTAAAATTCCTTGAAGATAGACTCTTTTTTTCCGAGTATGTGTATTCTATTTCTGGGCCTGTGTATGTTGTTGTTAAGTGCCGTGGAGTCGGTTCCAACTCATAGCGACCCTGCACAGGGTTTCCGAGGCTATAAATCTTTACGGGAGCAGAATGCCTCATCTTTCTCCCGCGGAACCGCTGGTAGTTTCGAACTGCTGACCTTGCAGTTCACAGCCCGATTCGTAACCACTACGCTACCAGAGTTCCTTGGGCCTGTATATAATTGTATGTTATTATTGTTTGTTATTGTTAAGTGCCTTTGAGTTGGTTCCAACTCATAGCGACCCTGGATAGGGTTTCTGAGGAGCGACTGGTGGGCTTGAACCAGCAACTTCACGGTTCAAACCGGCCTTGCAGTCCCGCACATTAGCCCACACTTTAGCTTTAATAAGATATGATAGGGCTGGTGGCAAAGGTTTTGGTGTCTTTGCTTTGAAACAGTAGTAGAGGGGACACTAATCACTTTTAATTTTAATTAATTTTTTCATATAAGGACCAATTGAAAAAGACCCTGCTGGTAAACTTGTTTTGTATAAAGTAGGAAATTTTCCATCTGGAGGACCTTCAATGAAGTTAATTTTTCAAACATACCAATTAAATGTGCTCTCCACGTAGAATTTGTGCCCTTCCCTATCTGTCTGATTTGCTGATTTGTTTGTTTTTAATCTGGCTTGGTTTTCAGTAACCATAGAAGGCTCAAGGCCATGGGAGACTCTCATCTCCTGCAACCACACCCTCTTTACAGTTTCTGCAGCATTGTGGGAGAAGTTCCTGGGAAGAGCCAAATGCTATATTATTTGTCGAGCCTCTCAGAAATCACCTCAGTCATTTACTCCCTCCAATTTTAAAGGTTTACTTCCATCTCTTGCTGTTCTTGTACAGGCCTACCACGACCCCATGCTCAAGCTCTCCATCATGACAGAGCAAGAGTTGAATCAGATTTTTGGAACATTGGACTCTCTCATCCCTCTACATGAAGGTATAATTTTGTTCCCAGAATGACTTGTGATTTACAGCCTTCATTGAGTTGTCTTTTAAAGTGCCAGTCATGATGTAATAACATGAGTATCCTAGAGTCTACCTCCAGTTCTGTTCATATTTGAATGTCTAACAAAATAAAATGTTCTGCTTGTTTGTTTTATCTGCCAGATCTCCTTAGTCAACTTCGAGATATTCGGAAGCCTGATGGCTCGACTGAGCACGTCGGTCCCATCCTCGTGGGCTGGGTAAGAAAACTTTTCTGGTCTTGATGGAAGATCAATGTCAGTCTAACTTATATGGAGTTTCATTTTACTTAAAATTTTTTAATTGGAAAATATGGTTTTCACATCAGGAAAAAGTAAAATAGAAAATCCCTATTAAAAATTGTCATTTCAATTACACCTTAGGTCTTCAAAGCACGAAGATAATTCTATGTAGTATAAATGTACTGTATTTTAAAATAATATGGCAATTTTGCAGTACAATAAATAACAACATACTTAGAACTTTTATTTTCACATCAAACAGAATAAAACTAGCTAATGTTCTATTTGACAGTATTACTAATATAATTATTACCATTTCCTGGTGTGGCGCTGCAGGATAATGCAGTGGACCACAAAGTCGGGTTGAGCCACAAGGTCGGTAGTTCAAACTCACCAACTGCTCCTTGGAAACCCTATAGAGGATAGCTATGAGTTGGAACAGGCTCAATGGTGCTTAACAACAACTAGTCCACTAACACTGATGGGAACATTCTTGTATATCACAAAAAAACCTTTTGCTCAGTCTCAAAAACAGAAAATCTTATGGTAAAAAATACTTCCATAAGCAAGGTAATAACTAAATGTTGCTCATGTTCAGCTTAATATCTGATCATTAGCATATTTATAGGCAAGCTGGGTATAAGATGACCTTCATCTCAAATTAATCTATATGCCTTTACTAATTAAAGAAAAATCTGTGACTTTAGAGTCCCCAAAACCCAAACCAAACCTTTTGCCTCCATCAAGTTGATTCCAACACTTTGAGAACAGAGTAGAATTGTTCCTTAGGGTTTCCAAAAGTATAGATCTTTATGGGAGCAGATAGTCTCATCTTTCTTTCTGAGAGAAGCTGGTGGGTTTGAACCACAGACATTGAGGTTAGCCCAACATTTAGCCCACAGTACCACCAGGGCTTTTTTGGCATTGGAGTTAAGGGCCATCAAGTTGGTTCCGACTCATAGCAACCCTGTATAGTGTTTCTGAGGAATGGCTGTTTGTATTTGAACTACCAGCCTTGCGTTTAGTATTCTATGCTAATCTATTCTGCAGCACCACACCAGAACTTCAGTTTTTGACTTTAGGGATCATAACTGTATGGTCCTCGGGTTGAATTTTCTTTGATTGGAGGGCATAATATTGTTTAGTTTACTTTAAGCAAGACGTGTACACACTGTATTTTGCCTCAGCCCTCACTCCTCCTTATTCCTCTTCTGAACTCTTAGAGTTTTCTATCCCAGCTCCATTATCATCTGTTATGAAGCATGCCATGAAATCAGATTGTTTGAATGACTTCTTCCAGACAGGATTAGTTTTGTCATCTCTGTGACACACATGGTTAGAAAAGTAGACAGGAAATGCTGTGACAGCAAGTATGAGTCTCTTTGTCTATTTAGAGAGTGTGTGAAGGTTAAAAAATCTTAGTATTCACATGTGAGTTATTTGCCCAATTATATTTGTATTTTAATCTTCCTAAAATCCAGTTGCTGTAAATGGTTTATGCACTCGACTGCTAACTGAAAGATTGGGGGTTCAAGTCCACCCAAGGTGCTTCCGAAGAAAGGCCACTGAAACCGTGCAGAGCTCAGTTATAGTCTGACACATGAACAGTCGCCATAAGTAGAACTCTCCTTGACATCAACTGGCTTAACTGGTTACAACCCAGTTACTTTGCCTAAGTGTCATATGTTGTTGTTGTTGCTAGTGTTGTGTGCTGTCAGTTTGGTTCCACCTCACTGGATAGGGTTTCCAAGGAGCTACTGATGAGTTTGAACTACCAGCCTTGCAGTTCAAACCGACCTTGAAATCGAGTGCTTATCCTACAGCACCACACCAGGACTCTTTGATGTTACATAGGTGTACACAAAGCTGTGACATTGCTCTCTTAGTTTAACTTAGGGTTCTTGATCTCACTGCCTTAATCAAGAGACTGTGAAGGTTGCTCTAGCCCAGGAGTCAATTTTAGCACCAAGGCTGAAATATCCCATATCCCAAGGGTATCTGAAAGGCAAGTAATATTCTCAGATGAATAATTTAGAAAATGTGCCTTAATATTTCAGGAGAGATTATTCATCTTATTTTCTTGACTTTCATTTTATTATGAGCTGTGGTAGATGTTTTAACTTCTTCTGCTCACAAAGAAATTTATCCAAAAAGAGCCAGGCAACTGGAGACAGAGGTGTAACAAGAAGAGGGTCTGTCTCAATGTTTCTTAAACTTCCTGAGTCTGTGGACTGTTTTGGAGTGGGGTGCAGTACAGGCAGTAAAACTGCACTGCAGAATCAACATGATGATTGCTGGTTTTGACAGGACGATAATTCAGAACTTCGTATGCAAATTGGCAGTTCACACCAGAAGCAGAATCATATGAATATGCCTTTTTATTCATTTGTTTCTGAAATAAATGCTTACCACTTTCAGTAGGAAATTAGTTCAGTGTGGGTGTATCTTTTATGTACATATCCCTGGCAAGTTTGACCATGCTGGTGCATTGCTATCTGGACTCCTCGGACTTCAAATGAAGACTTGCAGCTTGAGAGCAGCCTAAATTTAAACAACTGGCCCCTTGTTACCAGACCTCATGAGAAGTGGCCCTACTTATCAAGCCCAATGAACTGTAATGTTTTCCCTCTTTTAACTGCAAATGTGTCCATGCAAGTAGAAACTGTAACCAAGGGTTACATACGTTTGAGTTCTGGTCTTTTTAACAGGACAAAATAAACATCGTAGTGGATTTTGAATAAGGAAAGTTGGAGCCCATTCCACCCATGAAAAATTGATTTATTTGTGCCCCCAGGAAAAAGTTAAAAAACAAAAGCAATCCTTATAAATAAGAGAGCCTCCCAAATGGAACAGCCCTGCTCAGTCCTTTTGACCTTATAATGAGTCAGTTACTTTTACTTTGAAGACTTTAAACAGAAGCCTTTTTTTTTTTTTTCATGGAACCATCCTGGTACTGAGAATCAGCCACACACACCCCGTTTAGCAGGTCAACTGCTGGACTAATAAGCCTTCCCTGTCAAGTAGAAACGACTCCCCAAGGGACTCAGTGCCTTGCTACCTTTTTTTTTTTTTTTAAGTAATAAAATAATTTATGAGCTCTGCAGGGTACTTTGTCATATTAATATGGATTCTCATTTAATTTTAATTTCAAAGAAAGAGGCAGGATACATGGATGAAAAAAAAAATGGTTCTGTCTTTTTCACAATGTTGGAGAGAGAGAATTTCTTAAAAAGGAAGAGCGTTTCCCTTATGAATGCTTGACAGCCTGTTTACAGAGATGCAAGTGGTTCCAAGCTTTGACTGGGATGGAAAACAGGCTTGAGACTAATATTATTTTCAGCTACCGTATACCACCCTACACAGGCTTGCTTTGGGTTTTAACAACTCAACGGCACTTAACAACAACAACTGTATACCACAGTTTCTTTTGGGGGAAAAAGAAAATTAGAGATGAATAATGACAATATTTACTGGGTTTTGTTTGGTTTTTCTTTTTAAATCAAGGGTCAATGTCTGTGCTATACATTTGTATGTAAGGGAGAGGAGGAAGTATAGCGGATCTGGTGGATAAGCACTGGACTGTGAACCACAAGGTCGGTGGTTCAAGCCCACCAGATGCTTCATGGGAGAAAGATGAGGCTTTCTGCTCCCACAAAGATTTATAGCCTCAGAAGCCCAACACTAACTCAACCTCATTTTCAACAACAACAGACTAGAGAGGAGGACATTAGTATATGTACTGTGTATGCGGAGAGACAGGTGCAGAAGGATTACCTAACTAGTTACCCAGCTAGCTCTGAATGTGATTCTCTTTGACTCCAAGGATTTGTACTCCTAGCCCCTGCATGATTACCTGTTACCTACTCACCATTTATGTTAATAAATGAATGGGTATATGTTTTAGAGCCAGAATGTATATATACTCCTCATCTCCTAGTGAATTAGAGATCACTTGTGGCTTTTTCACTCTAGTGGGCTCAGCAAAAGAGCCTTTTAGGTCATGCCCCAGGAAACAAGCACCCTGTCAGGTGTGAACACAGGATGAGAACCTGATGTGGTTGCCATAGCAACCAGGATCAGAGAGACTAATGACCCATTGGACAGCAAGCAGCTGTGTGATAGGGGCAGTTTACATCCGATGGTTGCTGCTGATTTGTTTCTTTATAATGAAAACATTAGACATAACTAGATCTTTTAAAAAAGGAAATAGAAGCAAAGTTAAGAGGGCCTGAGGCCCTTTTTAATTAGCTCTAAATTGCAAGCCACAACACCCCATCTCATTGTATGTGATTGAGTATGTACATGTGCACAATGGCACTTAACAATAAACAACAACAAGCCTTCTAAATGAGTTTCTTGTGCCTAATTTTAATAGAAATCCTATAAACTCAAGAGATTCTTCCCTCGCCAGATACTTTGGCAGGTTGGAATCATTACGCATTGTAAACATATGCAGTAATACTGCTTCTTTCGTTTTAGATTAAATTGGCAAAAAAAATGCAAATGAATTGTGACATAGGTCCTAAAAATCAAGAAAGTACAGGTGCAACTAAAACTGTATCAGGCAGTGCAAGCAAGTTTCTCAGAGCCTAAGAAACCTGTTCATTGCCTGTCATTTGGAAGAATTCCTCTGATTTCTTCCAGCCATGGAGATGAAAGAATGTTGGTCAGGCATGGAGACCAATTTGATGTTTGTTCAGTCCCCAGAAGCGATGCTATTAGCTTGTGGCTTTAGAGCTCATTTAACACTCCAACCCTCTCTTGGTTCTCTTTTTCTTAGCTGCCTTGTCTCAGCTCCTATGATAGCTACTGCAGCAATCAAGTAGCCGCCAAAGCTCTACTGGACCATAAAAAACAAGATCACAGAGTCCAAGATTTCCTGCAACGATGTTTAGAATCCCCCTTTAGCCGCAAACTAGACCTCTGGAATTTCCTTGATATTCCAAGAAGCCGTCTGGTGAAATACCCTCTGCTTCTTCGAGAAATCTTGAGGCACACACCAAATGACAATCCAGACCAACAGCACCTGGAAGAAGCAGTAAGTGTGTCTGTTTTTCCTCTCCTCCTTGTTATTTCCCATGTAATGATCTGTAGCTCTAGTAAATGCAATAACTGAGGAAGTCACCAAGTCCATGGTACTCAGGAATCTTCGTTTCCAGGCCTGGCTTTGCCATCAATCATGTTTAATTTTACAAGTCCCTTCTCCTCTCTGAACCTTGCTTTCCTAACCTGTTAAATGGATTCTTTACCTGAAAAGGATTCAAAGTTTCTTTTAGTTCCAAAATGTCTTGAGTTTGTATAAGTGACTCTAATACATTTGTTACAACAGCTGATTGTAAGGAGATTTTTTTCACTGAAGACCTGTTTCATTAGAAAAGGGGAGTTGCCTCTGCCTTACATCCAGTGCCCAGGTGTAAAATCAACTTGCATTTGAGATCTGAGTCTCCTCAGTCTCAGTTGTAGCGTCTAGTCAAATGTCTGGCTTAACAACAGCCTGCTCATCCACAAATGGTCCTAGAGTGACTTGGGTGACTTAGGAAATATGATTTCTTCTCTGCCAGCAGTTGAAAACCAGAAGGAATGTAGTTCATATCATGAGAATATTGGAAACTGAACATTCTATTGAGCTTGTTTCTAACTGGGATGGCCTGCTGGTCAGGACAGGTCATGCTTGGGGGGGAGTATCGTGAATCAATCTGGCCTGGATTGAGCATAGTCACTAGGAGACAAGACAGATAATATAGGGTCAGATTTGGCTATAAAACCAAAACCTATTACCACCAAGTTCATTAGACTCGGAACAACCCTATAGGACCAGGGTGGGGAAACCTTTTTCTGCAACATTCGCAGACCATACAAAATTATCAGCTTAAAATTTAGCCTGCTATAATGTGATGACTGGAACTGTGGTTACCATAGCAGGGCCAGATCACATGATTTCTTGGGTCTTATACAGCCCAGAGCATAGAGCATGAGGGCCACTTCATAGAATTTCCAATGTCATAATCTGCTGGTTGGGTTCAAGCCACCAACCTTTCAGTTAGCTGCCAGGCATTTAATTGTTATGCCATTAGTGTTCTTGTTTGGTATTAGATGCCATACAATTGATTCTGATGACTCGTAGAGAGCCTGTAGGTTAAAATAGAACTGTCCTATAGGGTTTCCAAGGCTGTGATCTTTCTAGAAGAAGACTACTTACTACATCTTTCTCCCACAGAGTACTGGTAGGTTTCTGTCAACAGCCTTCCAGTTAGCAGCCAAGTACTAAATAACAGCCCCACCTGGGGTCCTCAGATTTGGTCATTCTTACTCACTCACTGCCATGGAGCCAATTCAGAATGACCCTGTGTCTGAGACTGTAAAATTTTATGGAAAATGAAAATCTCATCTTTCTCCAGAGGAGTGACTGGTGGGTTTGAACTGCTTACCATAGTTAGCAGTCCAGTGCTATAGTAAAGTGCCACCAGAGCTACTTGAACTGGTTAATGGGGGTTGTCAGGTGCCATCGAGTCGAAACC